TGATATAAACTCACGTAATTCTAGTTGGATGTGAAAATACTTTTTACATCTAAAGAGAATAACGTGATTTATGTTAGGAGCATGATATACATGCAATAATTATTAGATCTGTCCGGGGAGGAGTCCCCTTCTCGTACAGGTTAGGAATACAGTAGTGTATCATCTATCTTTGTGTACTTTATGCATTTTTATTCCTTATAAATTTCGATAACACGTATCGTATTGTTCTCCGTGTACAATAAGCGTATGTTGTTTTGCGTATTGATTTATAATCGATTTATTATTGATGATTGATACGCATTATAACATCCGCACAGTGTACTCGGAGAACTGCGGGTAGGTGCTGCCGAAATTTTTAAGAAATAAAAACGCTTAAAGTATATAAAGGTAGTTGTAAACACTACTATATTCCTAATGGGATAGGTCCATTTCCTATGACAGCCGTTAAATTGTCTTATTTCAAATATGAGCGTTAGATTTTACTCCCACATAATTTATGTTCTGGTAATTTTCCCTCCGAGATTATTATAATTAAAATTTCCCTGATGTCGTGAAGAAAGTTAATATCATGCAACCTTTAATTTGATGCGTTACTAATAAAAATTCACATTATCTAATTATGCTTAATATCATACAGATCTATGAGTATAGTTCCAGACAAATCATGGATCGATATTCCTCGTATTGATAGATGGAGGGATAGTCGATATAAAGATGGAATAAATCAATTCATACAGTACGCCTTGGCAGACCCACGGAAGTTAAATAGTGATGTCGTGTATTGTCCCTGCTGTTGGTGTAAAAATAGAGCGTTGGTGGATAAAAGTGATTTACAGAAACACTTAATATCCGGATTTCATGAGGAGTACAAATATTGGACGTTTCATGGGGAAGGATGTCTTGAAGAAATGGAACTGATGGCGGATATCGGTACTTCCGGTGGGAGAATAGATGATACGAGAATAGATGATACACATACGATGCTCGCGGATATGTTAACAGTTCCTAATATAGATCAATCTGAAGATGCCGAGGATGCTGACGAGTCGGGAAATGCTGGAGGCGTGACTGATCATGAGGAGCTAGCGCAGATAATGAAATTAATTAACGACAATGAAAATGATCTGTATGAGGGTTGTACCGAGTTCACCAGGTTATCATTTATGCTGCGTCTTTTGCGTATAAAGTCTCTTAGCGGAATGGCGGATAAATATTTTAATATGTTGCTTGTGTTGCTGAGAAAAGTCATTCCAAATGGAAAAGATAGCATACCAGAAAATTATGATAACGCAAAGAAGATTGTTTCCGTTATAGGACTTGATTACAATAAAATCGACGCATGCCCTAATGATTGTATCCTCTACTATAAGGATAACAAAGATCTTCAGGAGTGTCCAATTTGTGGAGTATCACGGTGGGTACAACGCAAAAATTATTCAACACATGGGACAACAAGGTCTATGCTTAAGCAAAAGAAGATTCCAGCAAAGGTCCTTCGTCATTTTCCCTTAATACCAAGGCTAAAACGGTTGTATATGAATAAAGACACTGCTAAGCAAATGAGGTGGCACATGGAAGAACGTACTGATGATGGTAAAATCAGACATCCGGCTGATGCAGAGGCGTGGAAGCATATGGATAGAACTTTTCCTTGGTTTGCGAATGAGTGCAGGAATGTTAGACTAGGTTTGTCTAGCGACGGATTCAATCCATTTGGGATAATGAGTTCTGGTTGGTCTACATGGCCTGTGGTATTAACGCCTTACAACTTACCACCTTGGCTTTGCATGAAACAACCGTATATGATACTTTCATTATTGATACCAGGCAAGCATGCACCAGGCAATGACATAGATGTGTTTTTAGAACCGCTAATTGATGAGTTAAAACAACTCTGGACTGAAGGGGTTATGACTTATGATACTCATGCAAAGCAGTCTTTCAGACTACGTGCTATTTTACTATGGACAATTAATGATTTTCCAGCCTATGCGAATCTTTCAGGTTGGTCTACAAAGGGAACATATGCATGTCCAGTGTGTGGTCCAGAATTCAAAGGTCTTTATCTGCAGCACAGTCGAAAGTTTTGTTATTGGTTTAATAGAAGGTGGTTGAACATAAAACACAGGTACAAAACTAAAAAATGGAGCAAGTTTTTTGATGATACTATTGAGAAGAGAGATGCTCCGCGTCCATTACGTGGGGATCAGATTGTACATTTGCTTGAGATGTTCCCTGCCGTCAGGTTTGGAAAGAAGCGCTATTCGAAAGAAGATTTACTTGGAGTAAGGAACTTGCGTATTAACAAAAGGATGCCAAAACGAAAGAGACAAGCACAAGTGGTGAGTGATGGGGCTGAAGTCGTAAAATTACCTTCAGGATGGACAAAATTCAGCATTTTTTTTCAACTCCCCTATTGGAAAGAGCTAAAAATACGTCACAACTTGGACGTTATGCACATTGAAAAAAATATTTGTGATAATCTTTTGTCCACACTGTTGCAAGATGCTAATAAATCAAAGGATGATCTACGAGCTCGTCGAGATCTAACTGCATTGAACATTAGAGAGGAACTGCAGCCAAAAAATGTCGGAAATGACCGATTAGAGTTGCCTGCGTCTCGTATTACAATGTCGAAAGTTGAGATGCAAACATTTTGTCAAGTCCTCAAATCAATAAAGTTACCAGAGGGTTATTCCGCAAACATATCAAACTATGTCCAGGTGCAAGAAAGGAAAATATTAGGGCTTAAAACTCATGATTATCACGTGCTTCTTCATCAATTGCTACCTGTGGCACTACGCAGTACTATGCAGAATAACAAAACAGTGAAGGTTATTATTGATTTTTGTGGATTTTTCAGAAAGCTTTGTTCTAAAGTTATAGACATCAGTGACTTTGAGAAACTTGGAGAAAATATTTCTGAAACAATGTGTGAAATGTAGGTGCTCTTTCCTCCATCTTTTTTCACAATAATGGTTCATCTTACACATCATCTCGCGGAGGAGGCTGCAATAGCAGGACCAGTCCATTATCGTTGGATGTATCCAATAGAGAGGTTAGTATTTAGAAAAATTTAATCGTTACCTATCAATATTTATATCTATTAAATGTAAATTTCTTTACATCTATATCTGATTAATATTCATTTTTTAGATATTTGGGTTCAATGAAGCGTCAATTGCGTAACAGAGCTCGCCCAGAAGGTTCAATAGCTGAAAGTTACGTGAGAAGCGAGTGTCTCTTATTTGCCTCTCGTTATCTGAGAGGGGAACAAACTGAACTTCAAGCACCCGTTGATAATAAGGAGTACACAGTTCTCTATCCTCGCGGGCTGAACAAAAATTATTCTAGCATATTGTTAGATCAAGCGCATGCATATGTTATAAATAATCTTGAAATATTCTCGGAGTACCGGAGGTAAAATATCTAAAAAGAATTTTTAATACCATTTACTCTTTAATTTCTATTTTGACAAAATTTTTATTTTGACAATAATAATTAAATTTATGCACATTAATAGGCAACATCAGGAAAAACTTAAGAATGAAGTTACCGGTAGTACAGCTGTACATGACATTAAAGAAAGGCATATGAAGGAATTCCCTGCTTGGTTGAATAGTGAAGTAAGTATTGTTAAATTTAGAGATATTTGTATTTCATTGATAAAAAACATAGAGCATATTGATTTAATAGTTTGCTTATTTTTGTATATATTTAGATCCAGGAATAACTTGTCCTTAATAATCAAATATCAGAAGAAGTGAAGGTTCACGCAAAGCGACCTTACTATGCTGTAATTCAATATGGTGGGTATCGTGTTAACGGTTATAAATTTCACACAATGGAGGTTGATGATACGAAGGTCACCCAGAATAGTGGTGTCATGGCTACCTTCTCACGGGAATGTTTCTCAAACAGAAGAGATCAGAATCCAGTTGAAAATAATATGACATATTATGGAAGGTTGGAAGATGTGGTGGAGATATTCTACGGCTATGGTGGTCCAAATGAACATAAATACATGATGTTCATGATTCGTTGGTGTTTTACAAAGACTCAAAAGGATCCCTTTGGATTTACAATTGTCAATCTCGATAAAGAAATTGATAGTGATGAAAAATTCATGTTTGCATCTCAGGTGGGACAATGTTTCTATGTGAAAGATCCTACAGTTAAAGACGAGTGGGTTGTCTTGTACAAGGATTCTAGGGCTTATATTCAACCTTCTACTAATGAAGATGATGACGAGAGCTATATAAACAACTTCAATGAGCCAAATACAGCGATCGATGAATTCTCGTACCCTCAAAACGTAGTGTTTGAAACGGATGCTCCAACAACTCGGACAGACATTCCAAATATTATCACAGACATTAATAGGAGCTAAACAGCAATTATTTGTAATCGGGTCTTTATGTAACTTTTTTTAGTTTGCAAATTGTATAATAAAAACTTTAATATCACTACAATGTATCTCAATTACCTTTTGGACGATATAAATATGTAATATCTTATTTTGTATATTCAGCTTGCAAATGCCTACAAACTTGATGTGAAATGAAAAATTTAGTAACGCAACAATACATATTGTTTTTATTTTCGCCAAGCTAATTTGCATCTATGTTATATTAATTTGTATGTTTATTCAACTTGCAGATGTCTAAAAATATTAACAGGAGGTTATTCGAAGCTAACCCCAGTCAAGACCAATCCACTGATGAAGAGCCTCCGAGTTCAGGAGAGATGTCAGGTATAACTTAGTTTAACTTACGTATTTTTATTCATGATATATGCACAATGATAATTTATTTCTTTTATTTTTATAGGTGAGGGTGAGGAAGAGCCGACTCACATACCATTATATGCAGATCCTCCAGTTATACTTCGAGCATACATTCCTGGGATTGAGCGCGGGCCCTTACCAGCATGTGCAGAGGGGTACATACTCAAGCAGAACGAAAAATACATGCTTGCGAAAAAAAGATTAGATGAATGAGCCCCACAGATTGATGAGATTTTGTCTGATGCAAAAAATGAAATCAGACAAAGATTTGGTGAGTTTGATCAAAAACTTAATCAATTCCAGAATTTTTCTTCTTCCTTTTTTAGTAAATTCTAAGAGCTTAAGATTGATTAAATAAAAGTGTTGATATATCTATTATTTCTTTTTTGTAGGAGAAAAACTTTACCAGAAGAAAGGACGCCAAGGAAGTGACTTTAAAAAAAAGTTACCACCGGATGGTTTTCGAGCAATTGTGAGATGGGGACATAATGGGATTCCAACCGGACAGTGGGCTAATAACTTCAGCTCATACCTTGGATGTTTGATACGGAGGAGTGATAATGTGAATCCCTATTACGAGGCTTGGGAGCAGCCATTTCATGTCCTGGAGAGTATATATCGAGATTGTTGGGTAAATTCTTATATTTAGCAAAATTATTTTTCAATTCTGTCAATTGTCCATGCTTAACTATATTTTATTTTTTAGAGATATTTCAACATCGAAGACAATCCCGTAGGGTGGGAATTTTTATTTGGATACCAGGGAAAGTTCAAGCATTCTCTTCGGGAGTGGAGACATGAGATAAAGAAGAAATGCTTTGATTGTTTCACTCACAACTGGGAGAGGATATACAAGCGAGATAAGAGGGTTGAGCCTGAGCACTTTGTAGGCTGTCTAAAAATCACAAAAGATAGCTTATCCCCCATCAAACACCGATGATGGAGTTCATGTTGAAGGAAAAATGTAGGAGAAATAAACTTAATCGATGGAAAAAAGATTATGATCATCATACGGGGACTACTTCATTTGCCCAGATTGAGGATCAATTTTGTAGGACAACGGTATAAAGTCTTTTAATAATCATTGTATATTCTCTCTGCTTCTTAGAATATTTAATAAATAAAACTAATAAGTATATTTTTAAATCTCAGAACGCTCCCTTTATCCCACTACCAGAACTGCACAGGAGAACGATGGTTCAATTTAAGAAGGGGTACGATGACGATGAGACTAAGAAACAAAAGCTAGAATTGGCCAAGAAAATGCAGGTTAACTAATTATCTTAGCTCTTATTAGCCTGTTATCATGTAGTGTTTCTATTGTTTGTACTCTTCTTTTGGTCATCTTATTAGCCGAGTTACTATGACCCATTCGTATGAGGGGCTTGCTTGTTAGGATATAAAAAGCTGTTTATTTTCATTTTTGCACTAGAGGATGAAGTAGAAACTGCTATAAGATATTGATTTGTATAAATCTAAGTTTAGATAATGTCAAGCATTTTCTCAAGTTGAAGAGCAAAGTCATGTCCCTTTTGCAAAGTCTTAAAACTGTATGATAGGCCAAAAAAGTAGCAGTCATGTAATCATTATATGTTCTATATAATTATTTATTAGAGATAATAGCTTCAACTCTTGAATGCATGTAGATGTGTATGTATGCATCTATATGAAATCTCTGTTTATTATAAGAATTAAACACACTGACACACATATGCATACATACGCACACATCACACACACACATCACACACACACATATGCATACATGTGTATAAGTATGTAAGTGTGTGTGCATTCTAAAATCATGTATTCAAATAACAGTTTGCATTCTAAAATCATGTAAGTGTGTGTGCATTCTCCACCGTAGCCTTTTTATTCTTTCATCACATTTGTCATCTCTTTTTGCATGTTTTAATGATTTCATGCTTGATCTTTTGATGACAATGACTATTAGCAAAGATTCGGTATTAATACCTCGTTATTATGAAGAAAAAAAAACTGCTCCCAACTAAATTTAATGGCTAAATTATCGAATTGGTATATAATTATTAGATGATATACCAAAAAAAACACAATGTGCTTTTAATGCGCTTATCAGACTCTTAAGAGAGTATTGCATATTTACTTTCAGATAGCTATAAATATGAGGGGCTTGCTTGTTAGGATATAACAATGCATAAGATATAACAATGCATAAGAAACAACTATTTATTAGCACTTAACACCCTTCTTCTCATGTACTTTTATGTTGCACAAAACACCCTTCACATGTACTTTTATTTTACTTGTTCAGGTAAATATCTTTTATTTTTGAAAGGCTAATTCTTAAATTTATTTTTTGGACTTCTAGGAAGCTCTGGAAAACACTTATTTTTGAAAGGTCAATTCTTAAATTTATTTTTTTTGTCTTTTAGGAAGCTCTGGAAAACACATATTCTGAGGTTGTTGCACAGAGCCAAGAGCCCCTGACTAGAGAGCAGAATTATAATGTGAGCCATCTAGTTTGTGGACTTCCTAAAAAAGGGAGGACCAGGTGGATGGGAGTTGGAGCTCAGAGGGTGTCTACACAATTCCAGCCTCCGCCGATTTCCACACCCTCGACTATGCCATCGGGGCCCTCTTACATGCCGTAGGAGGATTGCACTCAGCAGGCGATGCAGCTTGTTTCCTCTGTGATGAGTATGTTAGATGGTCAGATTCCCGAGGAGATGTGGGAGGATATTCAAGAGGAGCTTATGCGAGTGATCCAGCCTACTGCTACTTTTGCGATGGTTTCTAGGCAAATAATGAAATCTTGTAGAAGGCGGGTTCCTACTCGGGTGCAAGGCCAGATCATGAATTTCTTGGCCACTCAAAAGGCATTTACTGGTAGTGGAGAGAGTAGCAGACAGGTATACTTATTATATATGTAAAATATGATTACACACAATATTATGTGATTCTAAATTTAAATTATTTTTTGTTAGGGTGGAGATGATGCTACTGGGAGCACGAGTCGTAGGGATGGATCCGCCAGTGGCAACGCAGACGATGACATGGATAGGGCGGATGACCTATCTTAGTGAGTTATATCCTAAACTCGTGTCTGATTAATATTGTGGACATCTTTATAGTTGAGATTATGCGTGTATGGTTTGATGTGGATTTAGAACTTATGACATGTGTATGGTTTGTTGTGAAAATTGTTGTGGATTTGGAAGTTATCGTGTTTGTGTATGGTTTGATGTGTATGGTTTACTGACGATATTATGTACATATTTCGAATTTGGATGGTTTGTTTGATTTGATGTGTATGGATTTAGAACTTGTGACATGTGTATGGTTTGATGTGTATGGATTTAGAACTTATGACATGTGTATGGTTTGTTTGTCAAAATTGATTGGATGAGATATACAGGGAATTGATGATATGTACAGGGAATTGATTTAGTAATCAGCAGATTTTTTTTTCTGCTAATGCATATCGCTGACGGTCACCCGTCAGCGATGCACATAACAATGTTGACGACTACCCGTCAGCGATAGGTATCGCTGACGGGCACCCGTCAGCGATGTTATGTGTATCGCTGACGGGAATCCCGTCAGCGATACTTATGCATCGCTGACGGTTCCCCGTCAGCGATACTTATCGCTGACGGGAAACCCGTCAGCGTTCGTGTGTACAGCGATGACGAACTGTCGTCAGTAATATCTATCACTGACGGGATCGCCGTCAGGGATAGTGAAACATCGCTGACGGGAATCCCGTCAGCGATGTTTTAATATTACTGACGGCATTCGCCGTCAATAATGTTGCCGTCAGTAATAGACATTACTGACAGCTGCCCGTCAGGGATGTTTTATCCCTGACGGGACTTTTCCTGACGACGTATCCTTGACGGGACGCCGTCAAGGATACGTATCCCTGACTGGAAATTTGATATCCCTGACAAGAAAGCCCGTCAAGGATACCGATTTTTCCACTAGTGCCTTCTGGGATGGAATGAGGATATCTTCTCCTGCTCTTCTACGTCTTCAGACATTTTCTCGGTTTCGGCTACCCTTACTCATAAATCAACCAATTGGAGTTTTGTTGCTACTTCCATATATGCTCCTAATGATCCTTCTGAGAGGGAGGTATGCTGGTGGGAGATGGAAAGGATTAGAGGATCCCATGTTTTGCCGTGGGTGGTTTTTGGAGATTTCAATATGACATTAAGTTTAGAAGAAAGAAGTGGTCGTTCTAGCTCCATTAGAGATATTAAAGCTTTCCAGTTTCTCATCGACTCTATCAATCTTACCGATCTCCCTCTAAGTGGCAGAAAATTCACCTGGTCCAATCATAGATCTCCTCCATCTTTAGCTAGATTGGACAGATTTTTGGTTTCGTTGGATTTTGAAGCTAACTTTCCTCTGATGGTTCAATATGCTTATCCAGCTCAGTGCTCAGACCATTGTCCAATTATGCTGGATACTAACTCCCCTTTCCTCCCCCCTCCCTTCAGATTTGAAAAGATGTGGTTATCCATCCCCTCTTTCCAATCCTTCATAGTATCTAGCTGGTCTTCCTTCTCTACGAGGGGTGAGCGCCAGATGTCCCTTCCTTTCAAGCTAAAACTCATCAAAAAAAGAATCAAATGGTGGAAAAGGTACTATTTTGGATCCCTGCCCCAGCTTCTTTCAGATCTTATGTCCCAAATCCATTCTCTCAATATCAGTGAAGAGTCCAGAAATCTATCCTCCCTTGAATCTCAACTCAGAACTGATTTAAAGGACCAGGTCCTCTCCCTTGCAAATGCTGAAGAGATCAAATAGAAGCAAAGATCCCGTGTTCAGTGGCTGAAAGAAGGAGATAATAATTCAGCCTTCTTCCATAAAGTAGCATCTTTCCACCGTAGAAAAAATTTCATCCCTCATCTTCTTGTCAATGACTCTATCATCTCCTCAGACAGTGATATCAAACAATCTTTTCTATCTTTCTTCTCGAACCTCTACAACTACCCTCTAGCCTCCAGTCTGAGACCCAACTGGAACCTTTTATACCCTCAAGAGAAAATTGATCTATCTTTCCTTGATCAACCTTTCTCTCCCCAGGAAATCACTGAGGCTGTGTTTGGGCTTCACCCAGACAAATCCCCAGGTCCTGACGGTCTTCCCATCCTATTTTATCAAAAGTTCTGGACTGTTATAAAATCCGATGTCATCGAATTCATTCAAGGTCTACACTCCCACCCACAAGCTCTCCACAATATCAATTATTCTTTCATTTGTCTCATTCCCAAAAAGGATGATGCCAACTCCCCTAAAGATTTTCGGCCTATAAGCCTGATCAACAGCTCTTGCAAGATTTTTTCCAAAGTCTTGGCAAACAGGCTTAGAAAAGTCATCCACCTTCTCATCGACAACTCTCAATCGGCTTTCCAATCAGGCAAATCTTCTCTGGACTCATTCCTTTTAGGCCATGAAATGATAAACTTTTGCTCTTCTGGGAAAAAAGAGGTTTGCGCTATCAAAGTTGACTTTTTCAAGGCCTTTGATTGTGTTAACTGGTCTTTTCTTCTATCTCTTCTTGAAGCCAGAGGCTTCGGCCCCAAGTGGTGTTCCTGGATCCATCATATCATCTCTTCATCCAAATCAGCTGTTTTGGTCAACGGTTCTCCTACCTCCTTTTTCAAATGCTTCAGGGGCCTTAAACAAGGCGATCCTCTCTCACCCCTTCTTTTTCTGCTAGTGGTGGATGTCCTCAGTCAGATGCTCAGATGTAGTGCAGCCTCTGGAGACCTTTCCAACCTCAACTTGAGAGGAAATCTAAACTCTATTAGAACCATTCAGTTTGTGGATGATACAATCATCTTCTCTAGGGCTAACCCCTCTGATATGGTTACCCTCAAGACCATCCTCTCAATCTTTGCTAGCATTTCTAGGCTCTGCGCAAATCAACAGAAATCTAACCTCTTCTACCTTGGTAAAATCCCCCAGAAAGGAAATTCACTGGCTGAAATTCTCGGATACTCTGTCGGCTCCCTCCCCTTTTCTTATCTGGGTCTTCCTCTGAAAAGAGGTTCTCTAACTAAAAGAGAGTGACAACCTCTCCTTGAATCTTTCAAAAAGAAGCTATCCCCATGGAAAAACAAAACTCTCTCTATCGGAGGTAGGCTGACACTTCTGAACTCTGTCCTCTCCTCCATCCCCCTCTATTATATGTCTTTTTTTAAGCTGCCAAAATGGGTCATTAAGGTCATTGATAAAATCAGAAGAAACTTCCTCTGGAATGACAGCCACAGCTTCTCTAGATCTAAATGCCTGATCAACTGGAGAACTGTTTGCAAATCTAAAGAAGGAGGACTTAGGGTGATTGATATCTCCTCTTTCAACTCAGCCCTCCTCTCTAAATGGATTTGGAAAATGCTCGACAGATCCTCTTTTCTAAGCAAAGTGTTTTTCTCCATTTATTCTAAAAATGGAGAAAATCCTCTTGCTCTTCAACCTAAGATGTCATCCTCAAGATTTCTACAAGATCTTTTCTCCATTCAATCTACCTTCTTTCAAATAGTCAGATGGCATGTGGGGGATGGTAACACAGGCAGTTTTTGGCACGATAAATGGTCCTCAGCAAATTCTCTTAGCAGCCTCTTCCCTCATGCATATAAGCTTGCTCTCTCTAATAACTGCAACATTGGTTCTCAAGGCAGATGGCTAAACAATACATGACATTGGCATCCGTTAATCAGAAGGGGTATCTCCCCTAATGAAAGGGCAGACATTCTCAAACTTCACTCTCTCTTAGAGCATATATATCCAGGTGGTCAATCGGAGCATGATGTCTTACAATGGCCTCTTCACTCCACGGGTATTTTCACTGTAAAATCCTTTTACACTTTTGTAACTTCAGGGGGTCAAAAATCCCAGTTCTGCAACATGATTTGGAAATCCAACATTCCCTTAAAGGTAAAAGTCCACCTCTGGATTATTTTGAAAAGGAAGCTTAATACAAGAGACAATTTAACCAAAAAAGGATGGATCGGTGACCCTCATTGCCCTTTTTGTCTTGGGGCAACAGAAACCCATGATCATTTATTTATTCACTGCCCTTTCGCTCGTGAAGTTTGGAATTCCCTTCTCCCCCTCTTTCCAGCTAACAGCTAGCCATCAAATATGAAAGATCTGCTGCTGCTCCATAAAGCTCCCAATATTTGTTCAGATATTAAAGTCATATGGAAGATTCTTTTGCCATGTTTTTGTTGGAGGATCTGGTTTTGTAGAAATTCTCTCATTTTCAAGGATATCCAGCCCATCCCGCTTCAAACTGCTACTAATATAGCGAGGTTTTCCATTTTCACTCATTTTCAAGGATATCCAGCCCATCCCGCTTCAAACTGCTACTAATATAGCGAGGTTTTCCATTTTCTGGACAGGTACAGGAGATGATAGGATGGCCGCTTCAAACTGCTACTAATATAGCGAGGTTTTCCATTTTCTGGACAGGTACAGGAGATGATAGGATGGCGAGGAGGCTTCGTAGGGCATCCCTCAATCTCGGACTGCAGGAGCTAGCTAAGAAGAACACACCTCCTGATGCTGGGGATAATTTATCCAGCAACTAAGCTCCTATGTCTCTTGTCCCATCATGAAGAAGAAGTTTCTGATCAGTGAAGATGCCCACCTTTTGGTTAGCAGCTAGCAGTACCTAGCTTTGTCTAGTTTATACATACTGTGTGGTTGCTTTTTAATCCCTTTGTTGTTCTAGCTGAAGTGCTTCTATCTAGTTGTAGGTGACAGTAGGTCAAGTGTGGTAGGTGACGACAATGGTCCGCTCCCTACCCACTTCTCCTATTGCGCTCTCTCCACCTAGTGCTGTTGTAAACTCCTTTTCTGTAACTTTTGCAATATATTTAAATGAACAGGGCTTTACACCCTGTTTCTCAGGCTCAAAAAAAAGAGACAAAAAAGAAAATAAAAGGAATTGAATAAGAATCGCTAGGTTTGTACATGATAAAGAGTAAAAGACAAGATAAGAGTCCAGAAATATATTAGGATATACTTGAATCAAT